ATGGATTTCAGATCGATTAAAGAAGAGAACACATGAATCGAGATGATAGAACGTCGGTTTGGAATATAAAATATATGGCTAGGTTTGGTGATTATAAGATCTGATAATTAGGGGTAATATAGGTATAATAGTTAAGAAGTATAGTAATATTAAGTTAAGTAAATAACTAAGGGGGGTCTCACTAATATTGGAAAAAGGTGTAGATCCATCCTAATATATCCTAATGTGTTGGGGGGTTTTCACTAATTATCCCAATTATAATAGTATATGTGTATAAATCCAACTAATAAAACCTAATTTTTAGTAAATTTATTATTTTTAATGTGTCAATAATACTCCTAACAATATATGGAAAAATAAATCCCAAAATAATATCATATATTTTTCTCCCCCTTTCAAATGACCCGTCTGTTACCAAATCTGATCATCGTTCTGGAAAATCCCAAATTACAAATTCCATAGATCCGAAAAATCGATTTCATAAATACCAATTAATATACTAAAATTTCATAGCGCCAGCCATAGGTTGTGCCACCGAATCGTTTGCAATTTACAAAATTCCAATTCCTATTTGATTTGTGTAACCAATTTTCCATTGATTTGTTCGCTACTTGGGGATCGTTTGTGTTGGAATCTTTGAGTATTGGACTCAAATTTTGTTGGATATTTAAATGGTTTAATTTAGATTCTCAAAATTGATTTTTGATGAATGATAAATTAATAAATTATCTAAAATATTTAAGTGTTGAAAAATATTAGTACTTGTTGTCATAACTTTTGAAAATCTATAAATAGATTCCAAAATCCACCATAGCGTCTCATTGCATTAGTTGAATTCACTTCTCATCATAGCGTCTCATTGCATTTTGTTGGAATTATCAAGTCCTATTTATTCGTGTCTTATAAATTCCTAAACGTCTTTTTGTTCGCCGTGTTTCAATAAATGTTGTGCTACTTTGTTGGAACTGAAATAGTCGTTGTATCTTGAAGACAATTGCCGTAAACCGAGAGCACTGCACGGGGCAAATTTGTCTTAAAGAGAAAGAACTGGGTTCTTGCTTCGACTACATTTTTCTTGTCAAACTTCAGTCCAAAATTTGTTCAAACAAAGTAGCATCCGCCTAAATATAATGATGTTTTACATTATTCTCAATTCATGGATACTATTTAATATTTTCATGGTTCCATTTTAGGTCCATTCTTACACAACACATATATTCCGACTTCGAGGCTTACTTTGATCGTGACACAGTCCTAAGACGAAAGTTGTAGGAAATTTCATTGGCTATTCGGATCATATTGAATCAACAAAATCGAACATCGGATACAAAAGTTATGATTAAGTTTTTCCATGATGCCAAAACCACCTATGCATTCCATACGCGAGAATTTCAAATTCGTCCCAGAAGCTTGAAATAATCAATTTATGATTATTTCTGGTACCCCTTTTCATTTATAAAATTCTAACTCATGCAATTAAGTGATAATATTAAATGATAAATAATATCATATTATATGAGATAGAAACATGGTTATGTTGCATGATAGAGTTATGACGTAATAATATTGCAATATATATTATAATTGGCATGATAACTTATTTATTAAAGCATGATAAACCTTGAATGCTATTTTAATATGTTGGAATGCTTGGATTAATCTTGATATATGCATGAGAGTTTGCTTTCATATGCATCATTTTAAAATTAAATAATGCATAATAATATGTGATGATGCATTTGTAGTGGAACTTGAAAAAATATATAGTAATTATTTTCAATATATGTTATTATTTACATGATGTCGATGTCAATGGGTACATATAATTAGAAGAATATAATACATGTCTATTGAAGTATAATTTTATGAATTGGAGATTATGTTGTAGTACATGATTATATTATATGAATATTTATGCTATGAATATAAATTAATTTTAGCATGAATAATGATGTTCAGTCGGACAGTGGATTATTGAATTAAATAGAACATGATTGTTCTTTAATGTATGAAATGATTGATTATTCTATGTTAAGTTTGAAATGCATATAATGACATTTTATGCCTAAATTATATAATGCATGTGAATATTTGGAATTATGTAATTATGATTACGTTCATATTTGTATGCTTATAAGATAATGATTAGTTCAAAATGTTATGTTACATCATAAATAATTTATGCTATTTGTGATATTATTATGCTTAAGTTCAATATTTGTGATATTTGTATACTGAAGATCAAGTTGATGCATATTATCTTTAATATAATATATTTCACATGTGTGTGTAAGTAGATGCATGTAATATTTGAAATTGATAACCAATCGAAAGTCAAGAAGCTTAATTTCTAAAAGAATATTTGAGTAGTTGTTATCTAGAACATAAAAATGATCTATATGATGGATCATCTTGATTTTTAGATATTGTATTCATAAGACATAAGTATACCTTATCAATGAATGAAATTGATTTTTTTTTATGTTGAACATCTGATCCATTCGTAAAGTGATAGTTGTTTTTCTTAAAAAAATGTCACACAAACTCTATATGAGAGATTGTTTTGGACAATTGTACCGTCGGATCAATATGTCTACATTGTGAAAAGTAGGAGTTTCTAAACTCTAGATTTGAATTGTGTACACATTGTCACACTTCGATAAAAACTTTCTTGATGTGAGTATCTTGTGAAGTTTCTTATTACATGTTCTACGAAAAAGAAATGAGCCCCCATCCTTAAAGACCTCTAACCCTGACGTGAATGGCCGCTTGATATTAATTAGGCTTCACTATATAAATAAATATAACAAGCGTGCGAGACAAAACATCAACCTACGGAAAAAAGATGACTATTGAGTGCAAGCCCTACACTTGATAGACTATAAGTAGTTCAGGTGTGTTTTTCTTTTTATTAAAGTTAGAAACTGACTTTAAAACATCAACAACAAAGTGACTTCAAAACATCAACAGCCACAACAAATACTCAAAGGTTAAAAAAGTTCTCAACATAACAATTACAAGTTTCTCAACATCACAAAACTGCATAAACATTCACAATGTTCTCAGTAGACCATTTAAAAAGGTTTTCAATGAGTAAAACAAAACATTTATTTAAAAGTCATCAAAGGTCAAACATCAACTTCAATTAGTTATCGGTTTCGTCTTCTTCAGCACCTGCATCAGCTTCAGCGGCAGCTACCTCCGTAGCAATGACAATCGCCTCGGCCACAGCGATAGCTAAAGCTCGAGCTGCATATGTTGCTTGAATTTTGCCTAGCAAACGGGCACGATTCCCAATCGGATTAGGAACACAACCGCGCTTATACTCACGAAAAGCAAGTGTATCCATTTCATAATGAAGGTGACATTTTGGGGACCAGACACGTGTTGTTTTCCCATTTCTGTCTCGACAAAAAAAAAAGGAATAATATTGGCATTGAAAATCACTGTCATGTTTATAAAGCATATTGGCGTTGAAATCACTGTCATGCTTATAAAGCATGTTACCAGAAGATGTAAAGGGGAAGTCGAAAACCAAAGGTCAGTAAAAGACGTAGAGGGATAATCGAAAACCAAAGGTCAGCAGACGATGCTAAGGGATAATCGAAAACCAATGGTCAATAAGAGATACAGAGGGATCGTCGAAACTGAAAGGACAACAGAAGACGCAGAGCGGTCTTATGGTAGAAAACCAAAGATGTGGTTCAACAAAACAATGAAATTGATGGATCCTCAGAGATTCTTGGCGTCCGAAGCTGGTCAAATGAACTGCATACCATCATCTCAAATAACGAACTTCATGTATGAAAAATCCAAACGTGTTTGACTCAATTATCATATG